TTTGGAGCGTGGTTTTTAACCGGCCTCCCCCCCCCCCCCCCCCCCCATTTTAATTAGAACATTGTTCGTTCTAATTAAATTGCAGAAGACAGGTGAAGGGGAAAAAAAAAAGAAATGACACACAAACTTATAAAAAAAGACCATGAATGGAGAGAAGCATTGTAGAAAAGCAGCAGATAAAAGGAAAGACAACTGACCTCAACCTCCTGGCGACACGAGAGCAAAAAGAGAGAAAAGAGTCAGTTTCAGTAAAGAGAAAAAAATGAATTTCAAGTTCAGGTAAAAAGCTGCATTCAGTGATATTACAATTTAATGGTGGAAACACACAATGCGTTCCTTCTGCGTAATATAAATCTGTCAAAAAGGCAAAGAGTTAACCTATAAGGACATTCCTTATCCCAAGACTCGTACTACTATCAGTCAGATATGAATAAAAACATCGGTTAGCAGGTATTTCACTCTGGAACAAGCCTAGAAAAATCATTCACACCAAAATCTCAAAACACCCACATTTGCAAACGTGTTAAAGCACACATGATTAGATCTGCTTTAGATCAGAAAACCCCCTCGGGCTAGGTTGCATATGCAAAAGCTTTTAGTGCATATTGCCGCATCTGATATAATACAAACATGAGTCATTTCAAAATATTTCCTGTTTAGCCACACAAGCAATCCTTAAGCGATGACTTACTCATCACTATAAACATTTACTGCACCGGAAGCAAGAGCCAGCGGCTCCTCAGGAGGCGATAAATTCCCAAACAACACATGAGATAAGCAGCCTTGACTGAAGCAGGGATCGCTGCCACGACTTTTTATATTCACACACAAACACGGACTTGAGCATCACTCGCCTTAAGGTACATTATGGAAGTATTCACACCTTTAGTACTTTAGTTTTCTTCCAGCCACAAACTTCTATTTGTTTTTGTGGGATTTTATGCTGTAGATCAACTCAAGACACTGCAGCGAATGCAAATCTAGAAACTGTGCTCGTATTCAGGTCCCGAAGGTTAACACTTAGTAAAACAAATTGCCATTGCAATTACAGTGACACATCTGGAAACAGTTGTTTTTTTATTATTATTTGAAAAAAATAGCTGAAGCTCAGTCAGATTGGATGAAGATGATGTGTGAGAAATAAATTTCAAATTTTGCCACTAATTTTGATTTGGATTTAGATCTCGATGTTGACTGGGCCACTACAACACATAGATATATTCAGATCTAGAATTGTTCTTGCTATGTGTTTTGGGTTGTTACCATTCTAGAAGGTAATCTTCCTCTTATCTCAAGTATTTTACAGCCTCTATCAACATTTTTTTTTTCTACAATCACCATGTATTTAGCTTTCTTTGAGCAGCTTCCCTTGTCCATGATACCACCACCACCATGTTTCACTGTGGAGACACACTGTGTGTGTTTTCAGGATCATGTGCTGGTTCAGTCACAAGTACAGTTTCAAAATGTGCCAGAGCACATTCCACCGTGTTCGCTGTGTCCCCTTCATGGGTGGTGGGGAAAGTCCAAAAGTGACTTCTTTCCTCTTGCCGCTCTTTCACAAAGCCCAGATTTGTGTACAACTAATAGTTTTCCTGTCAACAGATTCTCCCACTTGAGCTGTGAATCTCAGCAGCGTTCCCACTGTTTCCATGTGTCTCTTGGCCGTTCATTAATATTCTTCTTGCCTGGTCTGCCAGTAAACTTGTGCTTGTAACCTCCTCCCGTTTTAAGGTAATGGACTGAGTAGTATTCTGCAAGATGTTCGAAGGTTGAGATGTTGATTTTATGATCTAATTCTTCATTATTTTTTTTAACCAAATCTTCATCCATGATCTATCTGCTCTGTTCCTTTTGTCTTCATGATGCTGCAAGTCCGCTAATGGTCTCTGACAAGCAAAGACGAGATGTATGTTTACGATATTTACTGTGTATTTACAGTTCTTACAGACTGGGTGACTTCTGAAGGCAGAAGATTGGGAATGAAGCGGGTTGGATATAAATGTGTGTCACACTTTTCCTTGTAAACATTTAGAAATAACCATGTCTCGTGTTCCGTTCACTCCACAGCGTCGATCAATCACATAAAATCTCAGGATACATAAATGTTTGTGGTACGTGAAAGACATCCAGGGGTATAAAGCGTTTCCTCCACCTGCTGCAGTCTTTTTTTTTTTTTTTTTTTTTTTATCACCAAAACATACACCTGCAGTGAGCTGTCTTTGTCGGCTCAGCTTCAGTGATTCAGTGAGTGATTGTCAGCCATGTTGTTCAACCTTGTCGGCTCTGACGGAGGGTGAGACCTCAAATAGTTTACGACCTGGCAGTTAATCTGATGCCTCCTTTATCGACACCGCGGCTCCTGCATTATTTAGCAACCTTTCTGTATTTGTGCTCCTGCCAGCACAGATAAGGAAACCATCCTGGAGCACTGACAAGACTGAAAATCAATGATTTTACAAAAAGAGAGGCAGCACAAAATGTATTTGGGGAAGAAATAAATTCTCCCGGCTGAACACCGAGAGTGAGCTCGAAACAGGGAGAGAGGTGGTGACACAATGGAGAGGTTACGCCCCGTGCATCTTCACAGACCGAAACGCAGGCGCGAAAGACAGCTAGGTTTAACACTGAAGTGATTAAAGGAAGTGATTAAAGGAGAGATAAAAACACTGAGCTATGTCCGGGAGCCGTGGGATCAAGCTGATAAGATCGCAAGAAACCGAGAAGCTTAGCATCTCTAACAAAGTGCCAAAATACTGACTGGCAGAGAATCCCAACATTTGTGATGGAGAAACATACAAACTCAGACCAAAGCAAGGTTTTGACAGAAATAAACTGTGTCTGTTCTGCTGCAGGACAAAAGAACAAACAGTCAGATCGCTGAAATGCCAGTATACAACTTTGTGGGTCTGTTTGACAAAACCGCTTGTGTCGCTGACAGGCGTTTCTGAGCAAATGTCAGCTGTCAGCTGCAGCCTGTGTTCACCGGAGGGGTTTGTGCATAGCGCGCCGCTGCGTCATCAGCACCAAAAGGACGCAGTAATAACCCTCTTCTGTGGCGATCTGCTGTTACCAGATGAAGGTTCCCACTCAACCTTTTCTAGCAATTACTGTAATATTGTCCTTCAGTGGATTCATTAGCCACAATCAAAAATCTCATCGGGAAAACAACGGTTGAAGAATCCCAGGTGGCGACGCGATTTATGCGTTGTTTTTTTTTTTTTATGTGTGCCCACGAGACGACAACACAAGAATAAGGGTTTTTAATCGCCAAATGTTTACAACCTTACTAGGATTAAAAACAAATACTGTCCTTGTCCAAAAGATTTCATACCTTGGTCTCTACACTCTAAAAATACCGAGCAATTTATACAATATTTAGGATTATAATCATTTTGAAAGCTTTATGTAACCCTGAGTGGTTCCATCCTTCCTTCTGTCAGTCAGCGTTAGCTGTAACATCACGTCGCTTCTGTCCCACACTCTGTGTTCTCATGCAGTGTTTCATAATGCAGCTGAATTCCCTGCGAAGCGCTTTCGTTCCTTCTTTCTGACAACACACAACTGGCGGAATGTGGGGAAAAAAAGAGACTGCAATAAAGCCTGATGGGATAGCTTATTAAGCAACATTCCCTGCCTCCAAAACCATGCAGTCGTTCGACTGAATCGCCAAAGACAGAAGCTGGTCTGAACTCGGTCTCGGGAGGAACCGAGTTTGCATGTTCAGCTCACAGCTGTGTGACTGACTGCGAAAGGCGGTCAGAAGGACATGTAGCCAGAAAAGCAAACGATGCTGTGTGTTTCTCTCTGTAGCATAAGCTACTTAAACTCCTAAGTTTTGCGGACCAAGTTGTTCAGCTGATAACAAACAGCAGAAGTCGTCTTGTACCTGTGAATTAGAAGGATAAGTTTGAATGTTCATGCAAACTTGTATTATCTGCTTAAAGCTAAGAATGTGAACATCGCACAGGTAAAGTGGAGGATGACTTAAATAACTAATATTCTGTAAACAATGAAGGCATAAAGTTCCCATAACCAGACAAGTGAAAGTAAACCTGGAGGTGTGGCTAAAGTTTCTGTCAGCCAGCACCTGTTTGACCTCATTTTACTGCCAAGCTACTTTTTAAAATCTTAATCTTAACTCTTGAGTTTTTGGCTCTTGAAAATTGCAGAACACTATCGTCTACATGGCGCACTGACACTGTTAAATTATCATAACTGGTGGAAATGTTGATCTTATAAAGTCTCAAAACTGCCTTTTATCATCAGACAAGAGTCCAGCAGTTCCACAGACCTTCAGTGTTCATCGCCTTCCAACATTTAAAATCCTCTGACCCGCATGTCCTCTGGTTTCAGTGCTAAATTTGATGATTTTCTTTTCTTTTTATTGATCAAGACACTTTCTGTATACAAATTAATATTCTTCAGGTGGTACTGATAAACCTTCAAAATGTCAACTTAACATATGGGACTTTTGAAACCATACGCCCAAGCATTTCATTTATTTTACTTAAATCAACACTCGCGAAACAAAAATCAGCCAAGTCAGTATTTCAGGTAGCTGGATTAAATCGCTCGCAAACAAAATATACAATTCATTATTTAAAAAAAAAAAGAAAAAAAGAAAAAAAAGAAAGCCATTCTGAGGTTGTCGGCACTATAACACATAATACTGCATTCAACATCACTTCAATTCCTCCCACCTGGTGTTTCCCATAAGCACTCACTAGCTGTTCACAGCTTCACTGGCTTGGTGTCGCACAGAGCACGGCAGAGATGAGACAAAGCTCCCTCCCTCACCAATATTCTCATTCCATACGTTCTCTTATCTTCAGTGCGCACTGAGCTGCAGGGCATGAGACATAAACCTTCTTATTCCTGCACGCACGCACACGAGAGGACTCCAAGCGGATGCTTCGCGATCAGAGAGCATAAGCATGAAATGATGAGGGGATGGAGGAGCGGGTTATACAAGACAGCTTTTGAGTGATGGGTAAATAAAAGGTGAAGCAGAGGTGAGAGCATTCTGGGAACTGATGAATACTTAAAATGAGAGAAAAAGGCAACAAAACACCTACTGTTTTCATGTGAAATCAGGTTCTCGATAAGAGTAATTAAATTTTTTTAATCTTGTATGCTTATGTTATTTTTCTCTCCTATTATCTTGTAAATAAAAAAACAACAAAAAAAACGTCTAAAATGGAAA